AGCTGCGGGGCAGCGGCGGCGGCGGCGGCGAGCAGCGGCTGTCGCTGCCCCGCACTGTGCGGGCCCAGCGGGCGGCGTTGACTGGCGCGATGAGCTGAGCGTCGGGGGCCGGGCATAGGACTCGTGCGGGGAGCCGAGCGCATGGAGCCGGCGGGCTCTCGGTGGAGCCTGAGGGCGCCTCCACGGCCGCTACTGCTGCTGCTGATCCTGCAGGTGGCGGGGCCCGCGGGCACCTTCGCCGAGACCCTGCTGGGCGCGCCCAGGGCCATGGGCACCAGCTCCAGCCCGCCCAGCCCCGCGAGCGTGGTGGCTCCTGGCACGACGCCGTTTGAGGAGAGCCGGTTGCCAGTGTTCACCCTGGATTACCCCCATGTGCAGATCCCCTTCGAGATTACCCTGTGGATCCTGCTGGCCTCCCTGGCCAAGATCGGTGAGCGAGCAGGACTGCGGGGTAGGGAGGGAGCGACCGGGAGGGGAAGCTCGGGAAGGTGTCCGGGTTGGAGAGTTGACCTCTGGGTCATTCCAGTCTCTCCATGGACCAGGGCGGGGGCGATAGAAAAAGCAACTTCTGGTCAAGAAATACCCAGTGAGGAGCACTTTCGTGCTTTGGGTTCTTAAGTGGACATTGATCTTGAAATAGCCCCAAGTATTAGACCATACACACTTAGCGATTTGCTGCTCGCTTCTGCCTGGTTCGCCGTGTGACAGGCAGCCCTCTCTCCAAAGCCGAGACCTATTTGCTGAGAGAGGAGGCGAGCGGGCTGAAGATTTTTGCTATCGCTTACGCGGAGAGAGGCGCGGGCAAGCACCGAGGCTAAAATGGTTAAAGCCCTGGATGCTGGAGGGGAGAGACAGTGTCTGGACGCGGACCCTGCCATGTTCTTGACTGATGAGGGGCATGGAAGGGGACCAGGGACACCTGAGTACCTGATGCTGGGACGAAACTCTCCGTCTCCTTCCTCCTTTGGGTCGAGGCTGTCACTCTCCAGGAAGCATGTTCTTAGCTGACTGCGGCTAACGAGATGAGATATACCTTTAAAAATAATTAACCCACTCTTTAAACAACCTTTAACTCTCATTTAGAAAGCAGAAACCTCAGAAAGTATTCTCACCTTCATTCACCCCTCATCCCCAACACACACAGACATACACATAAACTTTTGTTATGATATGGTGCTTTGCATTATTTTAACTTTATATTTTAAATACCTTTTATCTTAAAATAGGTCAACTACCGTTGTAATGATTCAAAAAGTTATTAGGTCGAAAGAATTTATGCATTATTATCTGTTTCATATATTTGCCCTGAAAGGACCTGTTCTATAAGATGAGGCAAGTTTTCATAAAAGATGGAAAGACACATTGCCTGTCACCTGGAGGAGCTTACTGATCTGCGCAAGAGATAGTATACGCACCAGTGACCATAATACAGGAAAGTGCTAAGTGGGGTTGGAAATTGAGAAAAGATAACATGAATCACTTCCTCATGCGAAGGAAGCATTTAAACTGGGTTTTCAAGAATGACCAGGATAAGTCAGTTGGAGATAAGAGAAAACCCTCTTGAAGGAGGCACAAACACAGATGTAAATTGGGAGGGAAGTGCAAAGCTTAGAAGAGGGATGGTTTATGAGAGGGTAGACATTGTGGGAGGTAGTAAGTAAGCCTGAAGTGGACTTCCGATGTCAGATTAAATTAATTAGATTCTGTTAGTGGTGACCAAAGGAAGTGCATACTACTTAAGGACTTTGCCTGTAATTGCCTGGCTTTGCCATGATTTTACCTGGCTGAGTGTTTTAATTTCACCTGAGAGATAGAATAGGGGAAGTGGATTTCCCTACCCGTCAAGCCAAGTAGGCACATTTACATAAACTGGTTGCCTGTAATAATGAACTCAGGTGTCATCTGCTCCTATGGTCCTCATAACAACCCTGCCAGGTAGGAAGGATGAGTATTAATACCCCCACTTGGTAGAGATGGAAACTGAAACTCCGCGTTTATAGGAGTTGCCCACAGACACACAAAAGAGGGGAGCCACATGCAGATTCTGTTCACTCTCCCAGCTCCCAGCCTCCATCACTGGGCGGGCAGCGGGGAGGGTACCCCATTTCCATGACTGCTTCTCTCTTGCCATTTCTATTCAATTACAACTCTTCCTTCTCTTCTTCACCCCTGATTATTTTAATCTGATTAATTACACTAATAATAGCCGTGGGTAGGCACTTAGCTTCATTATGTCTAATTTTCACAAGCATTCCAGTACGTGTGATTATCCCTCTTTGTATATGAGGAAACTGAGAAGTGGGGAGGTTAACTTGCTGGTGAGTGAGCCAGAACCCACCCAGGTTTGCCTGATAATCTCACCTTTGTGTCTGTCCCAGAGGCTCATCTTGCTGTAAACATTCAGTGAGAATAGAACTGTATAACATTCTTAGAATGATGCTGGGCATGTAGTAAACACTAAATAGTGTCATCATGAGTGGGAGTAGCAATGAGAGTAGCAGCGGTGCCCCTGAAGGTTCCTGGCACTGCAGTGCCTTTTCCACTGTGTTGAGCTGCCTCCTGCATTTCTCTGCTTCTTTTCTAGGCTGAGCTTATCCAAGCGCTCTTGTTTTGTGGGTTGGTTGCTTTTTTACGCTTGCTCTTTTTCTATCACTATCTCTTCATCTTCTTTAACTTATCACATTAATTGTGTGGTATTTTTGAAAAGGCATTTATGCTTGTATGAAGTCACAGATGTATTGATCTATCTGTTGGCAATTTTCTTATCCAGTTGTTCCCTGATGCTTGCTGTTCTCCCGATCTGTCTTGCTCCCCCAAATGCTAAACTTCTCTGGCTACTATTTCCTCTTTCCTTCCTGCATCTGGGGTGGCACAGAGATGGAAACAGACAGATGTTCATGTTTCCTGGCCAGAGAGTCTGAGCAGAGAGCGGTCTAAATGGAGACTGCCATGGGTGGGTAAAGGGTATAGTTCTTAGAGCAGTAAGTATAGTTTTAGAGTTCCCAAAGCTGGTACTTGGGGTCAATTCCAGCCTCTTCCTGTATATACTCCAGCCTTGTCCTCTGTCCTAGAGAAGCCTGAAAATGCTCAGTGATCTCCCCGGCCTGCCTCCACTAGGCCCTAAATTATTATTATAAAATAATATTTTATACCAAAATTTTCTGTTTGGCTTTTGGAAGAGTGTCCTGGGACTTGGGACACTTTCATGGCCCATGAAGCAATCTTCTAGTCACTCAAATTCAATTTTAACTATTGCACTTGAAAAACTTATTTTGGGTACTGATATGACTTCATTTACTCATATTTGGGGAGGGTAGTGGATTGAACTGCACAAGGAGACTTGAGGCTGTGCAGTAACAGGAATATTAACTCATGCAAAATGCCGTGGTTTCTATTTGGGGCACTTTTATGTCATGTACCTAGTGTACCTGACTTTACCTGCTGCAGAGAACATGGAGAAACGTTTCGAGTGATTAATCTAGTCAAGGTTAATCCAGGTTATCCAAAATGGAGGCTCCTAATAACATTTGTAGGAGGTTCAAATCATGAAATTGTACACCTGAAACTAATATGATATTGTATGTCAACTGTCTTTGAAAAATAAAATTTAAAAAATCATGCCCGATGGTGAATTCAGAATAGTTTTCTAGATTTCAACACAATATTGCCTTAGAAATATTACAAGCAGAAGTGAGAGAATGCATATTTGTCAGAGTGTTGAATGATTCAACTTAACTTTTTGTTGGTTTACCTGATTATTGGGAAAAGTCGACTTCCTTATTATTTGGTCAAAAAGAAAGTTCTGTAGTTATAAAGTTTCCTAAAGTGATGATGATGTTGCGTATGTATAAATGAAGTAGATTAAATAAATAAAAGAACACAGCAAGTTTAGTACAGCTTTGAGAAGTTTTTAAAATCTTGGCAAGAAACATCTCCCAATTTGTTTTTCACTTAGATCCTCACACATGTGAACTCTTGTTGTTCTTTCATTTTGAATATTTATATTTTGAGTAACTTGTGTGTTTTTTTTTTTAACGCCTACAGCACCCAGTATTCCTAGGTGGTCTCCCATTCAAGTACTAACCAGGCCTGACCCTGCTTAGCTTCCGAGGTCAGACGAGATCCGGCACATTCAGGGTGGCATGGCCCTAGACTGGGTTTTTGTTTTTGTTTTTGTTTTTTAACAGTTATACATGCACACTTTGCTTGGTAAATCCTGTACACAAGAATGAAGCTCTACAGCCTAGAAAAATGGATACCCAAGAATGAAGAAGAGAGAAATTCCCTGGAGTGTTCTAAGATGTCCCCTCTGATTCTCTTGCCCGTGAAATGGGTCAGTGGGATTTGTCCTAAGCTGAGCGAACTTGGGCATGCATTCCACACCTACTCAAGGTTCAACGACAAAGCACTGGGTCCCCTGATGTTTAAAGTATCTGATGTCTCTTCTTTGTCTTCATTGGTGCTCCAGCTGCCCCTTCATTTATCTTGTAGTCTGGAGTTGGTCTGTTTGACACTCCCAGGTGTCACCCCCCCTAACTCCACCCTTTTTATTTCCTTTGCCCTTAAACTTGGGGTTAGGATGAAGAATTTTCCACTTCCCTCCATCCTGTTGTCTTGAAATTAACTTGTATTATTATTCTAGCAAAAGACAAAGCAGTTTGGTCCATGAAGATTTCTTGCCTGGGTTCCAGGCTGTTCTGCCTTTGAAATATGAAGCCAGGGTTTCTTTGGACAATGCCTGCGGAAAAACCTATCCTTGCCCTTTATTTCTCTTTGTCATGTTTGGTTTTCCCAAAGTGTATTCACCAGCTGGTTGGGCAGTGGATGAAGCTCATGGTCTTCTTCACCTATTGTTTGAACCCCATCTCACTTTGAATATACTTAGACACGTGTTTGTTCCTGATAAACCTAAGAGTTCTGATTCCTTTCTGCCTCAAAGCCTCCATGTCTTCCTGCTGGGCCAACCATGCACTTCCTGTTTTCTGTCTGAAGGATGACTTCAACTCTTTCTCATATTCTTTCTAAGAACCATTTCAGGTGCTTTCTAGAATTTTATCACTGCCCTCTCCCACAGAAATATTTTTTGTACTGTTTAAAGAGATAGCATATTATTATTATAAAATAATATTTTTCACCAAAAACTTACTCTTTGTATCAACTTTAACAAATGCCAATAATATTTATCATTAATGGGATGGTTTATTTTTCATATATCTTGAAGCCCTGAGAAGTAAACTAAGAACCTTTTTTGTAAACTTGTTTGTTCCCCGTAGGGTTGTAAAATCTCACTTATAAAATTGAGTGATTTTTGATGGTTTGTATATAGGTAGATTTTTCAGCAATGATTGAATTCTAATTTTTTTATTTTGTCATTTAGACCTGGTCTGTATTTAACTTCTCTAAATTAGTTTTTAACTTTTTATAAGACAT